GGCTTTAGCTTCTTAATGCTGCTCTTTAACCCGCTGCACCACCAGGGAGAGCCGGGACATTGTTTTTGTTGTTGTTGTTGTTAAGTGTAATTATGTTAATTCCTTGAAAGTTTTATATTTGTTAAAGTATTATTTTGACTTTTAAAATAATAGTTTATTTTTACATCATTCTGTGCATTTTCCGTCTCGCTACAATCCACTTGGGCATCCCATCACCAAATCACCCATGTGCCATCACCATAGTCCAGTACACTTCCCTTCCCCCACTGTTTTTGATCCCATTCCCCACGACACCCCCACAAAATGTCTCTGATATATAGCTGTTTGTTGTTATTATTATTTTCTCACCCAGTCCATTATACTCCTGCTATGAGTGAAACCATCCAGTATTTTTCCTTTTCTTCCTGGCTTGTTTCACTAAGCATGATCTTTTCCAGCTCCATCCATGTTGCTGCAAAAAGCATGTGCTTATTTTTTTGGTTGCTGAGTAAAAGGGGACATTGATAATGAGGATAATGATAAGGTCCTGTTCTTGTGTCCAAGTGGAAGATGCTATATTTGCACTAGAAATGTCAGGGAGCTTCACACATGCTGAACTGTGGTACTTGTGGAAAAGCCATAGAATGTTAGAGCATCCTGAGCAGTGTCAACAGTGGGTCAAGAGAAAATTATCTATCAGAAAGCACTGAGACTCTAAGAATCTAAGAGGGAAGTTTCAGGATCAGGGACGTGGTGGTCTCCCACTCGCTTCTGGTATACCGACCACCGGCCTCTTTGCTTTCTAAGAGGCCAGATTGTAAATGGACCCCATCAGTTATCATCAGTGGAAAAGTTAGTTAATGTGTAAGAGGGATGGTCGAGCGAACGAAGGATATTTATCCAAAGACAAGGAAACTTACAGAGCTGAAAGGATGACAGCCTTGCCATTGAAATGACTCTCAAGAAGAAGGTCCCCTTTTTCCTCTTGAGGTTTCAGAAAACAAGGTTAGTAACACTGATTTGATAGCAAAAATCAGAATACACCAGGATTTTAGAGCTTACTGGTGGGTCAGTAAAAGAAGTACTTTTCTGAAACTTAAACCTCCTAACAGGGAATGAATGCCATATGGAGAAATTAATTCATCATCATGGGAGTTGATTGACTGGAAATTTGACAACCACTTATTAGTAAGAGGATACAAAAGGTTCCTATGCTGGGAAGGAATATATTAATAGCTTCAGGATCCCTTCCAAATCCACCAGTTTATGGAGCTTTGATTCAACTAATGTGTCACTTTTCTTTACTGGGGTCCAAGAAATAATGCTGTGCTATAAGTATTTTGTGGTCAGAGTCTTGTCTTTTTTTTAAGGTTGAGCTCTATTAGATTAAAGGGTTCACAAAATAAGTTTCATTACTTCAGAGCATATCAGAATCCTTTGATTGCTGGGATGTGTTACAGCGATCTAAAAGGAAGGTAATTATGTTACAGTATCCTGATTTTCTTTGACCCTGGAAATTTCTTTAGCAGCAATTACTTTATAGCACAGTAACTATTTAAAGTAGTTTGGGTAATAATGGACCAAAACTTTACAATGACTCATTTCCACCAAGGTACTCTCAATGAAAAACATCATTTTTACCTAGCTTTTGGACAACGATAATGGGGCTGTCCAACTTTTTTTAAAGTCATGTGGTTTGACTTTCTTTTCCTACCCCAGTAGAAGCTGCTCCAGTTTACACCCCACCCCACACTCCCTGGGGTGGTCTCCTGATTGGAGATCCCTATTTGTGAGTTTGCCTGACTGTGGGAAGAATGGAGCCAAGTTTCTCTGACCACGAAATAAAATGGAAGCAACTGTGACAGTTTTCAATGCCATTGTCCTTCAGGAAGCTCAAGGGTCTAACCCCTTCAGGATTGCTACCTCTTAATGTGATTAGTTCCTCAGGGGGAAATTCATATTCAAATTTGAAATTTAGTTTCTTTCGACTGGCCGTATTATAGTTGTATTATATTTAATTTTCCTTAATTTCAAAAAACAATCTAGTGAAGTCTATAGAATATAAAGTCTAAATTACAAGGTGGAGCCCAGTTCTTTTATTTACCATCTGGATACTTGGTTTTTCAGGACCTACTTAATTTTTAGTTGTGTTGCTCTTTGTTTTAGCTTGGATATATTTTTTAAGTGCTCTAACTTCAACCAAGTGATTTGCATTTTAGTCTCTTCCCTTATTGTGAGTCACAGAAGGAAAAATACCAAATGCCACACGTCTGTAAAATCACAATTATACTGTAGATAACTAAAGAGTCAAAGGCTTCCTGTGGTTCATGACAAATTGAAATGTTGTGGGGCTTCCAGTGAGGTGATGGGAATGCTGTGTTAGTCGGAGAGCGTGATTCATTCACTGCTCTTTGGAATAGTTTGTTCATTTTCCCACCCACTTTCCATAAGTAAGCTGATGGTGGAATTCGTGGCCATAGAAATGCAACTTTCCACTGGAACTTCCATAAGCAAGAGAGCAGCACTGAAGCTCTAACCACTCCTGAGCCAAGGACGTGACTTTTGAGACATTACTTAAGATATCCCAGGATATCAGTGTCTTTCCTTTTTTAGATTTCAGCATGAAAAAAAAAAATGATAGCAATAAGCAGTCTTTTAAAAGTTATGGTTTTCAAGGCCTCCCTGATGATGGAAGGGGTGAAATCTCAGCAGTGTAAGCTGTGGGCAGCCACTGTGGTATGAGTTTGATCCCCAGCCAGGGAGCTGACCCACATGGCACAGCAGACCTTTACTGTCTCGCCTGCTGCTCCCCTCAGCAGTGTATTTCAATCTGCCTGTTCTTCTCCCTGTTCTGCACCTGGTGACTCTTCTCACCACCACCTCCCCCCACCACCACCAAACACACACAAACATACACACATACACCTTTGGCCTGACTGTATCCCAGCTCTTGGATGTATGAATAAATAAAATAAATCTTAAAAAAAATAGATGAAAAAATAAAGCTGTGGTTTCAAAGAGCACTCAAACGCTAAGAAGCTAAGTGATAAAGTACTTGAACTAAATATGAAAGAAACACACTAATAATGTATTGCACTACTTACCTCAATCTCTTTTGTTTTTATAAAATTTCATTTTATTAAATTTCTACCACCATGTGAGTCTTGTGAATACCTGATGAAGTCTACAGAACTTCCTGTTTCCTCTTCTCTGCTAGGGATTGATGCAGAGCTGCAACCAGATGCATGCCTCCTACCTCTTTCAGCAAGATAAACACTACGACCTGTCCTATGACACTGGAGACAAGGCCTTACAGTGTGGACGCCATGTTGACGTTTTTAAATTATGGCTAATGTGGAGGGCCAAGGTAAGCACTTTTCGTTTCACTACAGGTAGATTGAAAACAAGTGGTATTTGGTGGTCTTATTAGGCCATGTTAAAAATTGATTTCCACACTGAAAATTGCCCAAGGCTAAGTCTCTAATCCTATAGCTATAACTATAGCCTACATTGGGCAAGAATATAATAAAATGCATCGGGTTCCTTTCACTTCTAATGCTCCCTCATCAAGAGAACAAATCTGTGTTCCTTTATAGAGTAGAGCATCTATAATCCGTAGAGGTATTTTATTGCTGATTCTGTCTCCCATTTTTTAGTTTTCATAGTTGGGTAGGCTAATGCAATCTTAAATCAAATGTTTGGAGAACAAAAAAGAAAAAAACAAGACAGCTGACTTTTGACATTTTGAAGATAATCTCTAATTATATAGTTTTTATAGAAGCTTGGAAGGTAACTAGAGAGCTCCCTTTGTTTGATCTCTCTACTTACCCAGAAATGAGCTGTGGGTGATCATTTCTCTCCCACAGAGCACATGTGTATGTTTCAACATAAACAGCCTAGAGTAGTCAAAGATTTAATTTTTCCTTGACCAAATTCCTAACTTAAATGTCAGAAATCAGTGACTTTTCATCTAGACCATCTATCTTCCCAGGAGGCAATGATCCAAGACCCAGAAAAACCCAACTGCGAAAAGAATAGGTGAGGGAAATTTGACATAGGAAAATGAGAAAGGGAGGTCACAGGTAGCTGGTGTGCCCAGGGCTTTTTGTTTGAAATGGGACCACAAAATCTCTGTCCTCTCTAAATAGCCCACGCGCGGAAGTGGCAAGTCAGCAGCTCCGGGACAAGCACGTATAACTCGGTCAGCAGCAATGAGGCTGCAGATTTTTCTTCCTCAGCTGTGTGTAGTCAGATGAGCCACACCCACAGCAACCAGTTCTATGTGCTGCTGTTTTTTCAAGTCCTTCAAAATAAACTGAATTTCCTTAAGCAGTTTAGAGAAAGTGATGGATAACTTACAGTAAAAGAAGGGACTTGGGGGGTGAAATGATTACTTTATGAAATCTTTAAATCCATTCTAGAAAAGGCCATTTCAAAATAAAGATGAGCTTGCTTGATGCAGAAGCACTCTTAGGTGGTTTCCAGGGCTGGCTGAACAACATATTCTTCAGGCAAGCTTCTAGAATAGTATTTGTATTTTAGATGGATTTTTTTCTAAGTATAGGGGAGCTCCTTGAGTGAGTTCTAGGTAATCTGTTACCCCAGAAAGTGGTGTGATAGGTGAGTGGGCTCCACTCCTTGAGCTGAAGCAAGGAACCCCATCCTCTTTTGAGAGTTGAGAGTCTGAACAAGGAGAGTTATTCTGTTCCCAATAACACTTTCATTTAACAACAAAAAAAATCAAGAATACAAATGATTGTTGCATATTCCAGCTATTTTAAAATGAGTAGGTTTTTCATTTCACTGATAGGAGTTACAAATGACAAATCTAAGTATCAGGTACTAAGCTACAGAAAGCTTAATCTCTGAGCAATGTTCAATAACATTTTTTCATCCCTTTTCCCTGTGGTTTTTATAAAGATGGTGACCATTATCTATATTTACATAAAAATGTTTCTCTCATGGTTCATCAGTTCCTGCTGCTCCTTTTCTAGCTGAAGCCTCTTGCCAGCATGGTGCAACTGGGTGCTTCTCAAAGAAATAACTCAGAGGACGTCAGGTGTAAGCTAAACAGCAAGACCTAATGAAGCCTGAAGTATAGGCACCAGGGAGGGGAGGGGATAAAAGGAGAAAAATATGCCCACATTCTTCTAATTCCCTACAGAAACCCTTTGATAAATCTAGACATCTGAGCAGCAAAAACTTCCATTTGGTGTTGAACACACAGCTACATTTAAGCAAAGTGAAATGAGAATAATTATTAAAATAGTAAGCTCAGTCCTATCATCCTGTCCAATAATAAGGACAGTTGCTCTGTTGCATCAAAAACACTCCAGTCAGGAAAGGAAAAATCATCCTCTCTCACAAAGAGCCACAACAATGTTGACCGTGATAGTCTTGCATTGCCATAGAAGGCAGAAACAGTCTGAGATAACAGTGGGGGTGGGCAGGAAAGGGGTGGCGAGAGGGGCGATCATGTAGAATCCAAGGACGCAGAATACACAAATACAAAGAACCAACTGTATTTTCTTTTTAAATTTTATTTCTTTATTGAAGTAACATTGGCGTATGACATCGGTTACAGGTATACATCACTACAAGTCAGCTTCTCTATCCTCTACATTTTGGTCACCACTGAAAGTCTAACCTTGACAGATTTCCTCCATGGTTAAAAATCAATGGTAGAAGAAAAAGGGGAGCTTAAAGTGGGTCCCCCCTTTTTGAGCCTGGGTGATGGTATTGTGTAACTACCGAGTTTTCACAGTAAATCCCTTGTGTTTTCACAGTAAATCTCTTGTGTTTGTATATGTTAGTTACATGTACAAATTGGCAGAGATCTTTGTTGTTTTCTCTGATTGACCTTCCTAATTATATGTAAGAAAGGTAAGAAAAGGACTAGTGACTGAGGGAAAAAAAGGAAAAATTGTTAAAAGGAATTTGATGTCTGACAGTCTTTGTCGAATGACTAAATATTCACTTTCTAAAGTATTAACTTATTTAATTAATAAGTAGATTTCGAGTCTCTGTTATTGTGACTGGAACTGAATGTGATAAGGAGGTTATAATTTTTCTGATCAGGATAAGATAAATGTACAGATAACCATCTCAAAAACCAGGATATAACTGGTCATAAAAAGAACTCCTTCCGACATAAACGATGGAGAGGGAACGCCTTCCTAGGTTGAGAGTCAAGAGTGATTTACCAACAAATGACCTCTGAGATGGGCGTTAGTAGGGAAAATGAAGTAAAACCAGGCTTGTTTCCCACATTCCCATCACCGGCATCAACGGCCAGTACCTCGCCTTCCTGGACTGCCAGGGCCAGAGGCGAAGGCTCGGGTGTGCGCCTACCATAATGGACGCCTGGGCCCAGAGAGCACGCGTGTAAATACGGATAGCTGGGCTGAGAGGGGAGGGGTAGAAGGGGCTCTTGAGCTCCAGCGTGGGCCTCCAGGTCCCTCTGAGGTGAGGCGATTACAAGATTAAGCTGGGGGAAAGAGAGAGAATGCTAGAGAGAAGAGAGTGGAGGTCCCGCAGCTGTGAGGCTCAGTTGACTCCCAGCCCCTTGCCTGCTTGTGCTTCCTGTGGCTGATTACACAGCAGTGTGTCGAACAACGTAGGTAGACAGAGCAGGGTCAACCTGCAGAGCTGGGGGAAGGATAGTCTCAGAAGATCGAAAGTGGGGGCTGGGAAGAACATATTTTGAGTCTAGCTAGGAGAGTCTAAATTAGCGGAAAAGTCAACTGTGGTCCAGATGAATCTGTGGCAGCACTAAAATGGAGATAGCTGCAAGGGGTTCACAGTCTAGACGCAGCTTGTCTGGGCCCTGAGAGTGTACCGAGGAGGGTTTTAAGAAGCAGAGAAAAGGGGGTGGGGGTGGGGAGGGAAGTGCACGGGATTATGGTGATGGCACACGGTGACATGATGATGGGAAACCCGCGGGGATTACAATTGAGATGGAAAAAAAATGTACAAAATGATGTAAAAATAAACTGTTATAAAATAAAAAAAAAAGTACACACACACACACCAAAAAAAAAAAGAAGCAGAGAAAAATCACCGTGCCAACATCCCCAAGTGATCAGAGAAACTGGTACACTTTGTGGTAATGCAGGTCTTCACCTGGATCAGGGAGGCACAGATTAAATCCAACTATAAAGTGATCCAAAGGATCCAAATAACAAGTGATTAACTTCCTTCTCTCCTAGCTAAAGCCCATCCCTAGTGGGTTGAAGCTGCTCAGTCAGTCTAAACCAATCCTAATTTCCTTGGCAACCACAGACTTGTGGAACACAGGACTGAAGCGCTAGCCCACGCCAGGTGGCCTCCTTGACCCAGTCAGCTAGGACTGCAACCACCTAAGAAATGAATCAACAGGTTTCAGTTGTTCCAGGTTCTGGCCATGCTGAATTCCCCATTAGCCGAGCTGATGAGACTGGGAGTAGGAGGTGGGTCCACCTTATCTCCAGCACAATTGCTTCTTCCAGTTCCCACATCGGACTAATTGCTGCTAGGCCAGTTCTAAGTACTCCTGGGATGAACATGAGCATTTTCCTAAGCGTTCCATTGGCAGTCCACAAATACTGAAGGATATAGTTAGGAAGCCATTTAAAAAAGGTAATTTTCTAGAGTGTCAAACAGCCTCAGAAAACGCAGCTTTGTTATTTTTCGTGAGTCTGAATTCTGGGCTTCCCAAGCTGGAAACCAAACGACTTCTGTGGTATTTGCCCATTACCGACATTGAGTCCCATATCCCCAAAGGAAGTCTAAGGAGCTTTGCGAGTGCTGGCTAACAAGCATGCACCTGCCCTGAGAATCATTTATTCATTTGTTAAAAACATTCATTAAGCACAGACCCTATTTGTTCTGTCTGGGGAAGGGGCGGGTGTTGGTGAGCAAAACTGGGATTTGAAATGGCCAATTTACGTGATGGGCATGGGGTTAGCAGGCCGGGGAGGGAAGGCCCCCTCCTGATGCCTCACAGGAAGAGAACACCCAGCCTTCTATCACTAATGACTTCCACAATGACTCCTACAAATCACAGAGGCAAATTTTCCCCTGGGTAATCCAAATAATTACCTGGGGAATGAATGGAGGCTAGAGAAGCAAAGGAGTCCCCTGTGGAGAGCAGTAATGACAGATGTGAAAGGGAACCAGCACCTGAGAGGGGAGCTTTAAAGGAAAAATAATGGAAGCCACTAGGAACTTAGTCTCCTGTGAGGAAAGTGCTGGAACAGAGCTGAGACCCAAGGAGCAGAAGGACTAGCAGGCCCTGGAGAGAATCACCCCCCACCCCAGGCCGAGCGCCCCCCCCCCCACCTTTCTCAGCCTGCCTAATAAGCTTTCTTCTTCTCTTAGGGGACCATTGGATTTGAAGCACATATTGATAAGTGTTTGGAGCTGGCGGAGTATTTGTACAATATCATAAAAAACCGAGACGGTTATGAAATGGTGTTTGACGGAAAGGTATGTCATCTGCTTGCTCCTGTTCTAAAAAGGTTCACCAGTATTGATATTTTTGAAGTCAACAATGGACTGTCCAGGTAAATGGGACCATTGTAAAGAAGCAGGGGTGATGGACTAGCTACTCTGAGCTGGAGTGAAAAATCAAACACACAAAAAGTAACTGAATACTTGAGAAAGGCAGGCATTCCCATGGTTATAAGTTTAAAAGGAGGAATTGCATTTGGAAGTTGCAGAATAGATCAAAGTGTTCTTGGCATTTTCAAAATGGTCAGTCTGAGCTAAGTGCAAATCTTGTTTCCTCTTGTAGCCTCAGCACACAAATGTCTGCTTCTGGTATGTGCCTCCCAGCTTGCGTGTCCTGGAAGACAATGAAGAGAGAATGAGTCGCCTGTCCAAGGTAAGCAAGCAAATTAGTTGTTCCTCTGGTGTGTGCACCGGTGTGTCCACTGGAACTTTAGTGTGTACATCATCCTTATGACATGTGACATATGTCTGAAGAAGAAATCTATCCACTGTAGTGCATGAGCCCACCCTGTCTGTGGGCTCCCCGGAGCCAGGATGTGGTCTCTCCGGGCTGGTTGGTGGGCCCCTCCTCCCCTCATCACCCAGAGCAGGGGAGGCTGTCTCACTGCAGAACAGCTGAGGCTTCCTCCCTCACCTTCCAAATATTTTATTTCCAAGACGGGTTGTAATTTGAGAGAAAAGAACTAATCCCTCCCACCCACCCACCCCACCCCGGAAGTTTTATAGTGGCTTCTCTGTACTGTATATTACCTTAATAACCATTCACTATATTTAACAAATTGGTCAGAAATTAGATGTCTCCATCTTCATTGACTTTCACCTTCCTATTAAACCCACTGACCAGACAGAGCATCCACAGAGGAGTTTGGGTTCATTTGTTGAATCAACTGCTGGGTTGCTGGTTTGAGGGATGAAAAAAGATGGGAATGTGGGACAAAAGTTATCTTCTTTTTTTTTCCCCAAAAGTTATCTTTTCATCATTTTCTGAGCAAAAGTCAACTCTGAATTTCCCCTGTGAATATATATATATGAATATATTCTCTACTCCCATCACCGCTTATGTGGTGTGCTAAAATATTAAAATGTCTCTATAGAGAATATTTCTGGGGCACAGCAATTAAAATATTAGTGAACTGTGTTTTTTATCCTGTTGATAATAGAAATTTGAAAGTCTAAAGGGGTATAAAACAAATTTTCCTAATTTTTTTTCTCTCCTGTGACCAATTTGCATTATAGTAGTGGAGAGAATGCAACAATGCAAAGGATCAAGGTGACTTTGTTTACTTATATCAACAAGTTTGCTGAAATTATTCATCTTGCAGAAGTTTCTTATTACTTAATGAAGCCCTTAAAGTATAACATCCAGGTATAAGTAAAATGACACACACACAATACAGAAGGAAAAGAACTGAGGTAAAATAAATCCTCTGTAATGTCCAACCTATGGCCATTACCATTTAAATCAATTAAAATTAAGTTCAATTAAAAAACTCACTTCTGGGCCCTCCCTGGTGGCGCAGCGGGTTGGAGCACAACATTGAGAATCTAAAGCCGCTTCCTCATGAGTTCGATTCCCGCCTGCCCCGGAGGTGACCACATGGCGTGGCAGACCTCTCCTGACCCGCCCGCTGCTCCCCTCAGCAGTGTACTTCGTCGATCTGCCTGTTCTGTTCCCCACTCTGTCTCTGGTGAAGCCTCTCACTGCCCCTGAGCCTCTGGCCTGTACCCCAGTTCTGTATGCACAAATAAATAAATCTTAAAAAAAAAAAAAAAACTCACTTCTTCCATCAAACTAGCCCTATTTCAAGTGCTGCCTGGGACTGTGGCTGTTGTATGGGATACTCTCTCATTGTTGCAGCAATGTTTGTTGAGTTCAATGCTGGTTGTACATTCTAGAATAAGGAAGGGATACAACACTTAGGGAAGCTGCTGGTGGGTGAGAGCCTTGCAAGCCAACGCTTGCAATGGCTGAGGGACAGCTTCTGGGAAAATAGGCAGTTACTACTAAAATACAGTCACCACTTCCTAGGAGAGGCAGGTCAAGATGAGAATCTGGTGGATGCATTTCCTGCTCTGCTGCCCAGAAAAGCTTGAGTGTGCAGGTGGCTCACAGTGTGCACAGTGGGCACAGGGTCTGGGCCATGGTGAGCACAGGACCACATACAAATACCTTAGACACAGGCAACAACAGCAACAGGCTCCTGGCAGCCATTTATCAGTCAAGATCCACAGGGATGTTGACTACTCTTGTATTCTGCATTCTTCATCATAGTCTTCTCTTCTTGTATTTAACTTTTCTTTATATTTGATCGTTATCTGCATCTCCTGTCAGCTTATATAGTTCTGTACTAATTGATGAACATTTAAAGTCAATAATGTAGTTAAAAGTAAATTGGAAAGGAGGAAGATTGGCTTCTAAGGTGACTCTGCTAAAGTCTTTTATTCAGTGTAATGGGAAATTCAATTGGTGAATGCTGAACATTAAAAATATCTTTATTATGGTTATTCTGCTTTATCATTTCTCAGAATTACTGAGTCTTCCAGGATTTACAAAAAAAAAAGAAAGAAAAGTAATACATGATGAAAAATACATTTCTGTGATAGCTTGTAAGATTCTTTCTTGATGCTCTAATCTGAGCTCTCTTTGGAGGAAACAAATGTGGATTCAATTATGGAAGAGTTTCCTGGTCATTGAAAAACTAAGACACAAGGGAGAAAATGTTACTCTCAGACTCTTAAGTCTTAAGGCTGCCTCAAAGAGCTCTTGAGTTCTTAAACACGCAGCCCCTGTCTTTCCTAATTGATGTTCTTTATTCAGCAAAACCAAGAATGTGACCAATAAGACTAGAAATAAGTGAAAATTCTATTCATCAGAATAGTCAGAATCTTATTTTCTTTCTTAACTTGCAATTAGTGATTATGTAATGAAGTAGATGTTCCATGTTCCTGCTAATTTTAGTTCATCATCATTTTCTGGAAGCAACCAAAAGATATACGTATTCAGACAGCTGTGATTTCTGCCAGCCGAGCTAGCTTCAGGAATTGTGGGGGGAGAGGGAAGACTCCATCTCACTTTATGCCAGAATCTATTTGGTTTTATAACTAATCTTTTAATCTTTGATTTACATTTATCTGAAAAATTGGAGGTGATTATCCTCAACAGTTGTGCCATTTCTATATGCTTTTGCTTGGATTGTTCATAAAAACTAAATCAAACTTTAATTTGCTGAGTAACACTGTTGTTTTATCAGTTCTAAAGAAGAGGCATTGTTTATTACACAAAGAAAATTAAAGAATAGTTATGTAATTTTTCCTTAAATTCCTACAGACACATGAATTTGGAAGTTATTTTCTAGTCTGGGATTTCTCTTCTCAGGAACACATGGAGTTACTATGCCTCATAGCACAAAATAAAAAAAATAAAAGCCATGTCTGTAGGCTAGAATATTTAGTAGATTCATTTTCAGAACTTTCTCTCAGACTCAAAATATTTAAATTTCCGTTACATATTTGTTTCCTGGGATGAGCCCAAGGCTCTGCATATATCCACAATCCATGCATATTTATCTCCTGTGGAGATAGGAAAGTGGTATATGATGCTAAAATCAGAAAATATCAGTTCTAGAATAATCATCTACATTCATTCTGAGTGAAGAAATTAGGTTAGGATGTGAAGATGAAATGAAATTAAAGGTCAAGTCGGCTTTGACATTGGTAACTAACAATAATTGGGCCTGATGGGAACTATATTGGCTTTCTGAATTGAGTACTTTGAAAATGAAATCTACACTGTAAACCAATGATTAATTGTTAATATCCTAAAGTTACATGTTCATAACAGCATTCCATTTGACTGTAATTGTCATCCCTATTTTGAACCGAGTTGCTGACTCTGAGTGTCTAAAATAAGACAAAGGTTTTCTTGACATCTACCATCCTGGTTACATATTCGCAGCATATAACTTTAAAGCCCAAATGTTATATTTACAAACTCTAATGGTAAAATATTTTGTCAAGTCAATATATACTTCTTCCTAGATAGGCTATTTTTTAGAGTCAGTAAGAATTCTACACAGTGCTATACTGAGAAGTAAAAGGCAGTTTACAGTTGAAGCATAGAGATAAAAGGTGCTTTCTTGTAAATAAGAGCACAATAGAAACTAGAATATAGTCAGAATCTATGGGACAGATCCATGTATGTATGACTTGAAAGAGAAAATATGCCAATGAACTAAAAATGTCAGGAAAGATGTTATCACATTGTAGGTCTGGTAAAATTTGGAAAGTATAGAGGATGTGAAATGGAAAGGAAAGGGAGCTAAGGAAAGAGAACAAGTGTGACATAATAAGATTGAGGACAAGTGTGAAGGGGTGAAAAACATATGGTACATCCAAAGTATAGGTCTTGCTAGAGTTGAGTATTCAATTTGCTGAGCACTGGAAGAGGAGACCACAGAGCTGGGTGACCAGAGACCTTCGCTGAGTTCAAGAGTCTGAGTATGATTTCATACACAGGAAGGACCACCGACAGTCCCCAGGCTGCCATGAAAGTGGTACAATCTTGCTTCTGTATTGTTCAACTTAGAGGCATTCAGATCTTTGTTTCAGTGGATTCTTCATCATTACTAAAGATTATATTTGAAAATATAAACTGAGCTAATGTGTAAACTGAGCAGGATAAAAAGGAAACTTTTGATCTCAAGAAAGTTGCTTTAGGGTGTCAAGTTTGCTTATTTTCATACATCACTTGATATTGAAGTTTACCTCTTGGTAGCCATTCTCTAACCTGTATTCTTGGAACTATTTCTAACACGTTCACCTTTTTGTGGGGGGGGGGGGGAGGAGGGGGAAGGACCTGCTCCCAAATATTGTTTTGCTCAGTGATTTAGCCTTGGAACCAACACCAAATTTTCCCCATTCTCCTAAAAGGCTAAGTAGAAAGTCAAGGATAAGATGACAAGCAACTTAGAGCCTACTAATTTAGTGTTCTTATCACTTTCAAGATCTTGGCTCTATTGAACTGGTCTAGTCCTTTGATCCCTAGAAAATAAACATTGCTCTGATCATTTAGTTGAAAACTAAAAACACTACTTGATGCTGGCTTCTTTGATAAAGGAATGAGTATCCATGAGGAACAGTCATGGTTGATCTGGTCTCTCCCAAGGTGGCTCCAGTGATTAAAGCCAGAATGATGGAGTATGGGACCACGATGGTCAGCTACCAACCCCTGGGAGACAAGGTCAATTTCTTCCGCATGGTCATCTCAAATCCCGCAGCAACTCACCAAGACATTGACTTCCTGATTGAAGAAATAGAACGCCTGGGACAAGATTTATAATAACCTAAGCTGTTTCAATTCTCTAGGTAGACAATTAAGTTGTCGCAAACTGTGTGAATGTATTTGTAGTTTGTTCCAAAGTAAATCTATTTCTATATTGTGGTGTCAATGTAGAGTACAGTTTCAAAATCAAGAAAACATTGCTCCTTTTCAAAATTCTTTTTCAGTTTAGAATATCAAATAACTAGTGATAAAAGGCTGTGTTCTAATAAATAAGGAAAAGCTTAAGATTGTTAAAAATACTGCCCTTAATTTTAATAGAGTGTGCAAATCAAACTTTATTTTCACTTCAAAGTAGTAGGATTGAATAGTGCCAAATTGCCCCTGAATCATAAAAGGTTCTTTGGGGCGCAGACAAAAGGGTGAAGTAAATATAAAATGTATGTTGACAATAAAAATTCTTGCCTGTTTCATAGTGTTAGAAAAAAATTTCTAATTTACCTAGAGCAACATTTCAAATGTATTTAAATACATATAATTTTACAAAAGGAAAATATATATATTAAAAAGAAATCCTATTTTGTAACATAGATTTTTATTTTATATGGGTTATACAAACTGCAGGGGCAGATATAAAAGCTAAGTCAGATTTATTTTTCTCTTTTTTTTTTCCTTGGAGGCACAATAAAACACTTAGTGAGGTTATTTTAAAACATAGACCCACAAAATCCTAATGAGTGGATATCTTCTCTCTATTCCTACGATAGTTGACCATATCTCTAAAGTTAGTAATATAAATCAAACACAAAAGAATACTGCAGATTCTTTAAAATGGTTGATGAGACCAACAGTAAGATTCTTTTTCCTTTATCAGACCAGCCCAGGAGGCATGAGAGCCAAACTTCATCTTAGACAAAATTAGTCTAAAATGATCTCTATTCTGCTTTCCAGCTCCACCTGTTTTGAACAGAAGGCTAGTCCTGCTTGTTGAAGCATCTTTCTTTTATTAAGTCATTTGAATTAGAAAAAATGAAAATAAAATCTAATCAGCCTGAGCAAAGAGGAATGAAGCACACTCCAGAATATGGAGAGCCGGGGAAATTCAACCCAGTCTTGAGCAAAAGATTTCTGTGTAAAGATAAGGACACCTTCCAGGATGGCACCTTGTTGCAGCCCAGGAAGGAGTCATTTCCCTCCTGGATGGTTGCTAATTCCCATTCCCACCCTACTCGTAGCCACAGGTGCACAAAAATCTCTTTTGCCGGGTCCCCCTTCAGAATCCCAAATACATAATTGTTTTCCCACGGGTGCTTATTTCCTTTTCATGAATGGCAATCTTCACCCTAGATTTTGAGATAGCATCTTAAGACCCTTTATTATTTGTCTCCCGTCAAGAACCAAAGTGACTCACTAAGGTCTTGGGTTCAAAGTAATGTTTTAAGCAGTCCTCATTCACCTGACAGAAAAACAGACACTAGCAAGAGTCCCCATGGATGTTTATGGGCTGCAAGAGTCAGACTCCAGATACTAGTGGAAGACCATGGACTCTCAAATGCAGGCCACAGGCTCTATATACCATGTAAAAAGGTCATCAGCTTGCCCCTTCATTCTCTCTGAGAAAATGATACTTCCCTCCTGTCTAGGAAGCCAGTGGATTCCCTGTAAGTACTAGAGAAAATTATTTATCTGTGCTCCAGAATTTCATGAAGAAATAAGCTTCCCATTCTAAGCTATGTCTAATAATCTAGCATCCTTTTTCTTCCTAGAAATTGGCTCTTGTGAATAAACACACAGCTGCACACCTAGCTTGAGCCTGAGGTAAAAAAAAAAAACAAAACCCATCTCGGAGACAGAGACACTTATTATCAAACCCACTGACCAGCTTAGAGAAGACAGTGGAGCCTAGAGCCCTGATCTGGACCCCCTCCCCCCATAGGTAAGGGGTGCTATACCTTGGGGTGCAGATCCCATATCAGAAGACACTGCTTTGTAACATGATGGTGTGACAGAATTTAAAAGGCAGTATGTCTTCTGACTGTGTATGAAGTTTCAGCAGAAGAGATTTTACCAACAGGTTAATTTCCTCTGTCACTGCCCTTTTCTACATCTTTTCTCAGTTTGCTGGGAGCAAATCTTATGCAATGAAATCCCTACCAACCACAGCCCAGGGAAGGAGGTAGAAAAAAGATTCAAAGGTCCCAATAGTTTAATAAATATTCTCCAAAGTAGATCTGTAATCCACACAGGAGGGAGGGAGGGAGGGAGGGAGGAAAGGAGAGAGAGAGGAAGGAAGGAAGGAAGGGAGGGAGGGAGGAAGAGAGGTGATTTTGAACATTTATTAGCCCAAATTCACAGTGCCAAAGGCCTTTATGTGGGGCCATTCCTTAAAATCTTAGAAAAGTTTGGTTTTAGCTTTAATGAGAATTGACATGGCCGTCTTCATTTATACAGCAATATTGTTCTATTATTTTAAAATACTTGAAAAAAGCATGGTTTGTCTTTATCTGAGACATGTAAGGGGTTTGATGTTACGTGCTGTTACAAAGATGTGAGGAAAGAAAAGGAACTCCATCGTGTGTATGACTGTATTGCCTCTGTTATATGGATAGTAAGGACTTGTCACCTCAGATTGGGGTTGTGCACTTTAGATCTGAACTGTACAGTGTTGCAAATCAACATGTGTTGCTGTAAAAGCTTATACAATACATTATTGATGTCTTTTTCTGTGTGGTAGCTGTATTGGTAGTATGAGAACCACATTCGTGTATGTCACAGTGCCCACGCGCTCTCTCCCTCTCTCTGCTAAACTGTACGCCCTCCACATCAGCTCTAATAGAGAACATGCCTTCAGCTAAGCTCCCTGCTGAGAAATCTACTTCGAGAATTGTGTGATTTCACAAAACACAAGATGAACACTACTTCATCTCTGAGAATAAAAGAAACCAATAGTGGACAGTCTCAAGCTGCCAAATGGCACGTATGGACACTGCTGGGGTTTGGAGTAGGTGCTGCTCCCCAGAAAATGGACAAAGCAAGCATAGGTGTAAATATAGTGGCGGGACAAGGAATAGAAGAACCTCACAGTGGGGGTCATCTTGCACGTGCTCTTCTGTTTTCAAACGCTAAGTAAAACACTGTGTATTTATTAGTTAAGTGTGCCAAGACACTATTCCAAATTGGTGTTTCTGAAAGACACTGACATCTCTCCAACACTACTCATTACTAAAGACAGAAAAAAATATATATAAACATGTGGCAGCCTGTTCTTACCAACTATAAACTTGTGTATGATCAAAGTATTTTATCTGTGTTGTCTCTCTAAACCCAAATAAATGTGTAAATGTGGACCCAGTCAGGCTTTGGATGCTTATTTCTGACCTTGCCTTCCTTACAAATGTTTCCTTATAAATAAATGGTGATGGTAATTATATATGAATTGTATAAGTCAGTTCTTGTCACCTCCTTAAACATTACCTTTTCTGAATTCCTTGATGACTCCCCCTTGGTCTACAGTATTCATTGAGCCCCTACCTAACAATTTCAATCTGGAAACATCATCTTTTGCATTTTCTTTGCTCATCCAGGTAGACTATCAGCAGAATCTGTTTCTTATCCTTCAGGCTATCACCTTGGCCCCTGGCAGCCCTCTCCAATGCCACGTGACCCTAACCAAGCCAACTTCCTCATCTCAGAAATGAGTGGTGAGACTATGTGATCTCCAAAGGAAAAATGTAGGCAAATATGGGTAAAAAATCCAGGCTTACAAACCGGGAAGAGCTCTTAGATTCATTAACAAATTCAGCTAATCGTTATTGAAGGACTACCCTAGACTAGATGTTTGCACATGTTCATTCAGCAGCTTCATTTTACAGGTGGGAAAACTGAGACTCAGAAGTTTGGCCATTTCCTCAAGTCAGTGAATTCATAGCACAAACTGTACTGTCAGGTGAGTTGATACATATTGTGACAGCTCAGCACACAGACTAACCCTTATCACCTGCAGACTGCCTGAGGTCATCTGGTCTACCTCATTCTGCTGCTTACGTCTTCACCTCCTCTTAGCCTCTCCCTCTCCCCACCTTACACTCAATGCCAGGGCCTTTGCCCTTGCTGTGCCCTCTGCCCAGAACTCTGGTCCCAGAATTTTCTACAACTGCTCCTCCTTTCCAATCAGGCTCAGCTCCAATACCACTTTCTTGATGAGGACTTCCCAGAATAACCATCTGAATGTCTCCACTCTCTCTCTATCCTATCATTGTGTTTGTTGCCTTCACAACAATTTTCTCATCATTTATTTTTCACAGACTTCTAAAATGATTTCGTGGGAGATGACAATCCAAACATTTGCCTATCTACGGAAATGTGATTAAAATCAATTTTCCCAGACTCTATAATTGTCTAAATGAGAAAATCCATGCACGTATGTACAAACAGAAGAGCAATGCAGTCTATGCTAATATCCTGACAATACACAGTTACTAAAAGCTTTTAATAGTGTGCTGCTCTATAGTAACTTTCTCTGATCACCCTAACAGCAACTAGAGTTTAAAATTTCTTGTTAGAAGACTCCACCGGTCCACCGGTTTCTTACACTGTTTTGTGAATTTGATTTTTTTTCTAATTTTTGAACTGGATGAGAGAATTGCTTCTTACTCCAATTAGATGAACACCCCTAACTCTAAAATTAAACCCAAGGCAATGTTCAGTGTAACTCTTCTTATCTCAGAAAACTGTTCCTGAGGTCCATTTGGATTTTCCATCAACAGGATAAGCCAAAACAGGCTAGACCTTTTAATTTATTTGCCTACTAGAGAACACAATACACATAATATCTATACATGCAATATACACACATGTAAAATATATACACAGTGGTGCATTTAATAATGATGCATGAGAATATGTCCTGGCATACGTGCTGGCAAAGTTTGTGGCTGTGTGCTCACCTCATGTTATTCTCCACACAGGACTGCTCCATCTTGTTGTAGCACATCAGGAGGGTGCCTTGGAAGAGGAGCTGGGTCACCTGCAACTTCTCATTGCTCCTAGGGTGTCCTAGCAGTAGAGGCTATCACATCTCTAGGCACTAGAAATTAGGAACCACCACAATATATGTGATCTGTCATTGACCTAAATATCACATGACCCAAATATCACATGCTGTGTATAGATCAAAGTGCACGTTCACACATAAACCCGTGAATGGACTTAGAGCTCTAACATACATTTCTAGTTCATTTTAGTTATTGGTGTACCAAATGGCCAATAGATCAGAGCTCTAGAACTGGAGAGACTGATTTCCCCCAAGCTAAACAGTGGTGTCTTGCTAGAGAGACACACTTGAGCCTTTGGTTGGCTGGTTAGTAGGTTAAGGTAACTGAATTAATCTGGCTTTTTTCACCACTGGCCTCTGTGGCTATCACTTGTGGCCTTGATTCTGTGAGTGCCTGGGTGAGGCATGTGTGCCTGATTGAGGGTGCCTGAAGCGTGGGTGTGCACACCTGAGCCAAGGAGGGAGGGGATAAAAGGCAGCATCACCACAGGGGAGAAGGACTCAAGCTGCTGGCTGGTTTCCCCTGCTCAGTACTAAAACCTGTGAAGCTGATGCCGAGAGCTCCAAAATTCTTTTTGCAACTGGTGTGGGCCTGGCGGTGAGCTCACCCAGCACTGGGAAGGCTGCGCAGCGGCAAGCAGCAGTAGGCATGACTGTTTATGCCTGTGGATGGGGTAGAAGCCACCAGGAATAGCTGCGCCACCTCTCTGGCTCCACCGGCACCCCACTCCCAAGCCCTGAGCTATTGTTATAACAGTGAGATCACAGGAAAGTGGAAAATGAGGATTCCTCTCATAGGGAAAAGAAAATGCAAATGGATATTTTTCAACCATGAAAACAGCAGGTGATGGTAAGTGCAAGGAAAATGGGCTAAAACTGCTGATGGGGGGGTTCAGGGGAGAAACAGAATGAACATATTCACTTCTGCTCTTCAACCATGGGACACCACACACCCGCAACTGGGTTTGCTGAGTTCCCCCTGGAGTCCCATCCCAGGGAATACTCCACTCTGCCAAATCTCTCCTTAGAAGAAAATGCCATGAGTGAGGAGACCGTACTTGCTTTCACCTTCCACAAAGTCTTCCTCAGGCACTTTGGTGAAGCGCACTGGGCTGTGAGTGTTTGCTCTGTGGCGTTGCCCCTTGCTCGCATCCATGTTGCTTGAAATGCCTCCAGGTTTCTCACTGTGAATGTGGCCCTTGCATTTCACTCTGAGAAAAGGAGGAGCCTTCTAGTCATAGACCTAGAGACATGGAAGACTGAAAAACCATCTGGTCTAGAGTTTCAGAAAGGGGCCCAGACAAAATGCAGATACCTCCAATCAGGCAGAAATAGGGAGCTCGGTCTACGAAAAAGGGTTTTCATGCAGCTGAAACCATTCTGCTGCAAGGGCAGTCTCTCATCTCAGATTAAGCCCTTCCTGCCTTTTATTGGTGCTGCTCATCAATACCCCAGAATTTCTAGAGTAGTGTTGATACCTTCTTTGGCTAATGGAAGAACTAACATCTTTATTATCTGTATTTTTTATGGGAATCACTAAATCTGAGGACCTTTAATGCCTTCAAATCTTCCAGATTCTCCCCATCCACAACCCCCATTGCAAGGTTTACTAGGCTTTAATAAGTGCTATTTAAATTAACCTGAATATCTACAAGTCAACTTGAAAGCTTTGAAAGACTGGATTATAGTATAGATTACATGTTGCTAGAAGCTACTAGTTCCACCAATAATATTTCCCTTTTTATATTCACATACATCTTGACCTTTCTTAGCACTGGAGTCCTCATATTTGATTGCATTTTATTTTTTGCATCTGGTTGTATTTTATTCCAAGTTATCCATGCAGGTGCTAGCTTTGGTTTCAAAATGCACTGCAAAATAATGAGATTGTCATCTTTTTTACCTCAGGCAACCCCTTCAAGACATTAGAACCTAAAAAATCTTCCATGATATTTCAAATAAGCCAAAGCCTTTGAAATTAGTCTTTGATAGCTAGATCATAGGTGTGATGGTGAAATATCAAAATCAATGCTGTGCTTCACTCTGTTGACTTTAGATGAGAGTGCGTTATAGGACTATTACATGATCTCCTTACTGCCTATGATCACAAGGTAGAGTGGCAATTCTTTCTACTTCACATTTGCTGAAGTTTCCTTTATTTGCAACTCAAACAAATTTATACATATATTATTTGCTACTCCACAGAAACAGACTGTTCTCAGCAACATATATCAAAATGTCCATTTGGGGGAAGCACCTGGTTTAACATCTGTTCTTGTTTATGCAAAGGAAGCTCTGATTGGAAATGACTTTATAAATGCCCACAATGCCGCGCCGCGTTTTTCTTCACTCTTGCTGTCCCAGTTAATAGAAACTTGCAGTGAGGGGTAGGAAGGGAGATAAATAGGAAAAGAGAGAAACAAAATTCCTATTGTCATTTTAGCCTTTTCATCCCCAAAATATGCTAATCTATGATTAGAAATAGCTACATCACATGTTTGTGTGTTTTAATACTAAATTACTCGTGAGATGGTTTCAGTGTAGAAACAATGTTATCCCAACATACATGAAATTTTGAATCCCACAACTTCACCTGATTTTTTTTTTCACCAGTAAACAAGCACTGGGATTAGCTGCCCAACATTATAGTGAAACAACTGGTCAGAGGGGTTAATTATGGAAGCCCAGGGTTCTGCAGGGACCCTTTTTGTTCTTGACATCCACTGAAGCACCACGCCCTCACTTATTCTCAGGGGCTTTCTTGGCCAGGGCAAATCTGATTAGTATATGTTGCCTTATAATTTCATGGAAGGAAGTGTCCTTTAGGGTTAGATGTGTGGTGCCCTGGAAACTTGGGATTCTGCCAGCAGAGACCAGATCTGTATTCTCACATTTTCACTCCTCCAACAAGCAGCTGCTGGAATCAGATTGCCGCACCTCAGGTACAGTCCTGCCACTTATTAGCTGTGTCACCCTGAGAAAATCGCTCAAGTTCTCTGAGCCTCAGTCTGCTACTCTGTAACCCATTCAACCATTGAAAAGTTTCCAGAATCTCAAGAAGCAAGTAGAAAGGACACGACAGTTTGAACAGCTGCCATTAGACCCTCGCATGTGCTCAGATAAACACAAATAAACAACGGGCTCCCTTTGGCATTGTTTCCCACTTCTGGAAAAAACGCTTGTGATCTGGAGTAAAGTATGAGAACCAAGGCGTCTGGCTGTGGAAAAATAATTCAAAGCCATTTTCTTGCCAATTGTAAGAAGCTTTTAAGAGAAATCTCAATTTATTTAAACATAA